GGCAGCCAGGATATTTTCTGAAGTTAGTCAATACTAAAACTAGAACTTTCTGCTAATAGTCCCATATGTGCTGGCCTCACCTCACTGTGCAGCTGAATCAGTCTGATACTATTGCACTGAGCAAACAAGTTACCTGATGCTGTAGTTCCTTGCGTTTTCCCCTGCCTATCAAAGCCATTTGCTATCAACGCTGCGGTGGTGCTGGGGAAAGTCCAGCTGCTTTTGTCAAAAATTGCCTCCCTGATTACTGATCTGGGGCAGGGTGGACATGGATGTGACCTCCTGCCTTTGTCACGGCTTTTGTCACATCCCTCTCAGGAGCATGAAGCGGAAGGTGCAAGCAGAATTCTGCCCTCAGTTGCCCCCATGTAGTAGGGGACTGTGATCCCAGCTAGGATCCAGGAGCTGAGGGAGAAGGTGTTGGCATCTTATTATTGGCCTTATTCAATGCTGCTGAAAGTAACTGCTTTTCTCAAGATTTGAAAGCTGGCCTGTCCACTCCAGAAAGTGACTTGTCCCTTCAAGCAGTGACAGTGGCACAGAGGAACCGAGCCTAGTGGTGCTCCTACCATCCTTTCACGGGGACGAGGGAATGACACCAAAGCCCCTGTAAGGTTAAATGGCTAAAGCAGTTTTATTTGTGGTTCCTGTCATTTCGTGGGATATCTCCTGTTGCTAAAGGAGTGACACCAGCCTCCACGCTTTGAGAGGGTTTGCGGAGTGGTGAGAATTGCATTGCAAAGAGACCATGCGTGAGAAGGCAGGGCAGCCTTGGTGTGGCCCATTTCTTACACGGGCCAGACAATGTCCTGACGCACTTGGGTGAGGACCCTTGTTTACAGCTGTAACAGCTTTTGAAACTATTGCTCACTGACAGCCCCAGCATCAGACAGTCACCTGCTTCGTGGAAAACCCTGCCAGACTGAACGTCAGCACATCACATCCCCAGCCCTTCCTGTCCAGCCTCCTTACGCCTCTATGGATGCACACCCTCTCGTGTCAACGGGAGGAAAGTGATAAAATATAGTCCCATCCAGCAGTGTGTGCTAAAAATAATGAGCAGCACATGAGACATTGTTTTTCAGTTGATTTATAAAAACATCCCATGAGGGGAAGAAGGAGGTGTCTCCTTGTCTAGCAATTTGTTTAGGAAATACCACTTGTGCATTCAGTCTCAGGTGTGAAGGCATGAGCTGGCCAAGGGCACTGGGATGGTTTTCACCCAGGGAAGCACAGTGCAAGTGTGGGGCTGCACTTGTTGCCTGGGCAAGTGCTGTGCCCAGTTAATGAAAAGCATTACAGGGTGGTAATTCTATCAGTTTGCATGGACAGGTGGGTTTGTTTTGGGGTTTTGATATCAGGTGCTTATGGGTGAGTCAAGTGCATTTAGAAGGCAATGTCATGCCCCAACGATAGGATTTTTTCCCCCTGCCTTTTAGGGAGGAGCAGTGCTCTGGAGGTGACTTGGCTGGCGAGGGCCCAGGCTCTAGCAGGCAGCAGGTGAAGGTGTCTGGATATTTTCACAAGTCTAATGAGTTGTATGAGTCTAATTTGCTGGTGAAGCTTTGCAAAACCAGACCTCTGTGCAGTACCTATGGTAGCACTTTTCACCAAGTGGTCCTTCTCAAGAGCACTTCACTGATGTCCCCCGAAGTAAAGCATTTCCAGGCCTCTGCTGGTGACTAACTGGGAAAGGAGAGGGAATTGCTTCTCTTTATTTTATGATGCTCCCTGCCTGTGAAGCTGGGGGGCAGCAGCACAGTGAGTCAGTGCATGGCATAGCAGGTGAGGATCTAAGGCTCTCCTGTCCACAGATACATCTTTGGGTCCCAGCTTTAGCGAAGAATTTTCTCTGCACTATCCCTTTGCTATTCCTTTGTGGTAAACAGTGTTATTTCCCCCTCTTCCAAAGCTCCAGCTTCAAACTTCGGAGAAAGTAAAAATCTGACTTCGACAAAATGCCTTTCTGTCTGGATCTGAGACAAAACCCTTAACTTGGATGTCTGTCCTTCACTGATCCTCAGGGACACTCTTTTTCAAAGCTGCAGCACCTCTGGTAGAAGTAATGGACTCCCTGACACCACCCAACTATTCTGCAGGCAGTAGTTACTAGAAAATATTAGAATAAGTGTCTCTTTGAAGTTCAAGGTTATGGGTACACCTTTTTCCTCTTGAAGGCAGAAGTCAAAGCCTAATTTCCTAAAGCATACCTGCTGGTACTCTGCTTTTGCCCCAGTGCGTGCCTGCTGACATGGAAATATGGAAGGGATTTGCATAATACAATCATGCATTCAAAACACACAAAAGAAAACCGGAGTTGTAACAACAGTGACTCATTTTTCTCGTAAACACTTCGTATTTATTATCTTAGCATGGATTCAAGACATACGTGCATGAGGCATACAGCAACACATCTGGCCCGCATCCAGAATAGGCTTTAAGAAAAACAAACTCATATTGATAAAAGTCATAAAGCAGATCCTTTGCAGAAGTAACAAAAAGAACCTAGGACAGACATCAACAAGTGCTTGGTCACATACTGGCACTGGTCTCTTGGATCTAGGTCTCCTTCTTGAGTTCCTGGTGAATGATAGCAGCCCTAACCATGCTCAGAAAAATTTAAAAAGTTTCAAAAAAAAGCAAATAGTCTTTGCATATCTAGACAGAAAAATAATGTGCCAATACTTAAATTGGATATCCCCATGACAATGCATTTATGAGTATATTTTTTTTTCCATAGTATTTCACAGTTTTCAGGCTAGAGTCTGAAGGAATGGGTTGGCTGTATAAACCCCACACCTCATTTCCTATTGAATTTCAAAGCAGCATACATTGAGAACACTTTTATTCAAGTACATTTTAGCTAGTAATACAAATGCTAATGCTGAATTTTCCTGAGAGTTCCAGGCAGGCATGGTCATAGTTTAGTGTCCTTGATGAAGAGTCCAAGACTCCACCAAGTGTAAGACATACAACAGCAACCATATTTCTTGGAGTTGGAGCTGCCTTCGATGAACAGTTTGCCAAGCTGCGTGCAGTGCTAGCCTGGGAGCTGGTGTTCAGCTGAACTGAAACTCTTCGCATTTTCTTTTTAGTACCTGAAAAACTGACCTGGGTACGTGTACGCAAAACACACTACTTTGCAGTACTAAGATAAATAACAACTATTCCTGAAACATTCTGTTCTCACTCAAAAGGTGTTAGCTAGCTAGCTTAGAGGAGGAGGGAACCATGCATGTGGCTCAAGCCAACAGCAAGGCTCCCGGTAACACCACTGGGACAGGGTTAAATTTTCCATGTGGAAAGTAGTCAAAGTCAGTCAGCTTCTGCTCAGTGACAGAAATCAGTGTCAATACATAGCACACAGGGTTTTTTGTGAGAGTGACCAGAGATATGTAATGACAGTTTTGGAAAGGCAGATTCAGAAGAGCTAACCGAAGAATAAATTATAAATACAAACAAAAATTCACTACGAGGCAGGAAAATACTTCAAATAGACACAAATATCAGAAAGTGCAATTATACAGCATATGTACTCACATACAAGGTTAGTTAAGGGAAGGAACTCTGACCATTGACCTTAGAGGTGGCTATGAAACAGGATCACTTCAGCCATGAAAACCCATGAAAAAAGTACTGGTTAGGATTGAGTTTGACAAGAATGGACTGGCACAGTTATTGTTTGCCTTGACAGCGATCAGCAGGTTTAATTCAGCTCCTCTGAAGCCAGCCAAGGGTAATAACACCTCAGTGAGATAGGCACAGTGCATCACTATCCACTGGATGTTCCATTCTGGAACTGAAATGAGGTTGCCATGAAATGAAATGAAAATAAAGTACACAGGAAGAACTTTCGCTTATAAGTATATATAATTAAACATTCAAAAATCTAAGGTTACTGTGCTGTCTGTAACATTCAATTATATTGATATTATTTCTTCAAAGAGAGGTAGTTACTTTCTTTGAATAAATAACATTCTCAAGAAAACTTGAGATTAGACTTTAAGATCTACTTCTAATGAAGTTGTTTCATTACTTATAAAGACACAGCAGAATTGTACTGTTGTCAAGAAATTCTTTGTAATATTGAAAGAATTCTTCCACCACAATTACCTCAATACCTGTATTTTTGTAATATATATTCAGATATATCTTATATGATGCTAATGTGATTTATTTCCTTTATTGTCAAACTTCTTTTTAGTTTATGTAATGTATTTTTATACTGATTTTTAAACCATGTATTGAACATTTTTTCAAACTATGTTTGAGCCCAAACACCATTCAATTAATAGCTCCGTGAAATACCTGTTTCATACACTTGTGGTGCAGATATTTGTATTTTACGTATACATACTATATATTTATAATACAGGCTAGAACTATGCAACATTGTGTTAATTCATAGAACTTTAACTCTTAGTCTGCAAAGCAAAATCCTGTGACAAAAAACCATTCAACAAAGATAGTGGTCTTCTTGAATGAATTATATAATCCCATCACCAGATCCCTGTCCAGCAGGATCCAGGCTTTAGAAAAGGACAGCAGTCAAAAACCCAGCAACTGGCTTTTGCTTTGGAAATCATGATCCCAAGTTCCAAGATACTGCCCCTTTTTTTGGTTTCGTCCTGAGGTGGTTCCGAGCTCCTTGGTGAAACATGGCTGTGGGACATGAGGACCAGAGGGCGACTGGGGAAACCAGGTTCCTGGAAGGCTCCTCAGACCATGGTGAAAGGCAAGTTCAGTCTTGCCCCAAGTCTCCCCACGTCACCATCTCCCCCCAGTTCACCACTGCAAGGTGAAGGGCTCTGCCCATCACTATTTTTTTTCCCACCTGGCATTTACATGCAAATATTGCTGTAACATTCTTCAGAGAAATCATGTGGTAGCCATCCTCAGACGGCTACAGGCAGCTAAACACAATGCAACGAAATTTCCGAGGTTTCTTCATCTCCCAGTGTCTGTGAAGCCTCTTGTTCCAAACCATAAAGTAAAGGTCATCATCCCCTGCCGTTCCGCGCGCCATGTCCGCGGGCAGCCCAAATCTCCGGGCAGAACAGCTTGCTGAGCAGGTTCAGGATCCTCTGCCGCAGGTCCCACCTGTCGCCGATGCGGATCAGCTCCCGGGCGCACTCGGCCGCCGCCGCCTCCCGCCCTGCGGACACACGCGGCCGTCAGACACCAAGCGTGGTTTCCGTTTTAAAGAAATCCCCACAAGTTTGTTCAATTTTTTACTTCTTTTCTCAATATGAAACACATCTCCCCTCCCCCTTCCCCCCTCCTCCCCACACACACTGAGAGCAGTGGCTGTACCGCCTTCGCCTCCACACGAGCGACCGCAGTCGCTCCGGGCTCTGCCCCCGCTCCCGGTGCTGGAGTCGGGCGAGCAGCAGAACCGTGTGTTCCCGTCCTGTCCAGTCCCATCCTGTTCCCCCTACCCTCTCGCTTCACGCTCCGGTACCTGCAGGAGAGGCTGGTGGCGTGGCTTTGCGCAGGGTCTTGCCAGGCAGCATCGCGGCGGCGGGGCTCGGACCGTCCGGGCTCGGCTCGGCGGGGCACGGACTCTTCAGGCTCGGCTCGGCACGGACTGTCCGGGCTCGGCTCGGCAGGACACTGACCGCCCAAGTTCGGCTCGGCTGGGCTCGGTGCGGAGCAGTTACTTCCCAGGTCCTCACGGCTCGACGGCGGCAGCGGACTGCGGGCACAGGGGCGGAGCGCGGTGCTTACAGCGCGGCTCGCCGGGGGTTTCCCCGAGTCCTGACGTGTGGAAAACTCGCGGGAATCCCGCCCCCGCGCCGGGCGGGCAGGAGGCAGCGTGCCCGGGCGGAGCGGGACCGGGCAGGGACAACGCCTCCGCTCCCAGTCACAAAAAGCCCGGCGGGATGCGGTGTGCCGGACGGAAGGAGATGGGAGGATGGGGCGTGCGTGGGGGAGACAGGATGGAGTGTACTTAGTGAAGAGGGAATGGAGGCGTGGGTGGCCAAGGGAGGTGGAGTGGTGGGGTTTGCATCATCCGGCAAGAAGAGGCAGAGGGGTGGGGTAGGCTTATGCTGGGGAAAGAGAGATGGGAGGGTGGGCTGTGCTTGTGGTGGTGGTCCAGGAGAGCTGGACAGGGTTGTGACCATTTTGAGGAAAAAGGTGGAGGGATGGAGTGTGCTTTGACAAGTAGAAGCAAGAGATGTCATCTGTTATTATCACAGAATCATAGAATAGTTTGAGTTGGAAGGGACCTTTTAAAAGTCAGCTAGTCCAACCTCCCTTCCAAGGACAGGAAGATCTCAACTAGGTCAGGTTACTCCAAGCCACATCTGACCTGACCTTGGATGTTTTCAGGGACGGGACTTCGATTACCTCTCTTGGCAATCAGTGGCAGTGTTTTACCGCACTCATTGTAAAAAACTTCTTCCTTATAGCTAATCTAAACTAAACGGTCCTTCAATTTAAAACCTGTTTTAAAACCTTTGTTCTATTGCAAAAGGCCTGTCTTTCTTCTAAGCCCCCTCCAAGTGCTGAAAGGCTGCAATAAAGTCTCCCCAGAGCCTTCTTTTCTCCAGGCTGAGCAATTCCAGTTGTCTAAACTTTGGTGATGGTGACCTTGCCCTCAAACTAAACAAGCTGTCCCATATTCCTGTGCTACTTGCAATTAAGGGCCACCCTACCACTGCTCTACCCTGCATGGTGCTGGCTGACACATGCCAGGGCACACTTGCCTGTGCTTGCTATAATTTTAGGTGGTGCTTTTTGCAAGAAACAAGAGCTGAAACAAAGTCACCCTCGTGTCTTTGTGATTGTTGCACAATGTTGGGAGAGCTGCCGGTGATATATGGATCACTCATCGGCCTCCTGTCTCCAGGAGAGTTGATATCTGGTGCACTGACTTACAGGATGGACTTCTGTTTTTAGGGGAAAATGAAAATAGCTTGAGGTAAAGAAAGCACAGATGAGTCAGACATAACAAAGGACTGATTTGTGGCTGAAAGTCAGTAAACTCTTACCTCTCCCATCAAAGTACAACTTCACAAAGGAAAAAATGGCAGTGTAATACAGACCCACAAGGGGATGTTGAGAATCTCCTTTCTATGGGACAGGAGCCTCTCAAGTTAAGTGTCTAGAAATACTGATGACTTTGAAGTCCATTAGAAGGGGAATCATTCACCAGCTCAGTTCAGATACCCTTTTCCCTGCCTATTTCCCAGAAATGATGGCACATCTGAAACATGGCTGATTTCTCTCCCTGCGTAGGAAACCTCAGCCCTGTTGGTACCTGGCAGAAGACAGCTGCATGGCTGGCATGTGGAAGAGGCAGTGATGCCAGCTCACAGGGCAGTTTTCAGGGTGAGATGTCTAAAAGAAGGATACAGCTGGATGAGGCTTTTGCAAGGGCACTCCCAAGACAGTAGCTGGGCACTGTCAGCATCACGCAATGCACTCTGTCTGGTGTCAGGGCATCTTAGTTTGGCCACGGAGAAATTTCTGATGTTTTTGAGAATGTATTGCCTTCACCTCTCATCTGGTATTCAACCTAAATGGCATGTAGGCGTATCGGCTTGACTTTATGTGTTCAGGGTCTCTTTTCAGCTGCCTGAACACCCCTGTTAGTAAGCCAGCCTCATTCAGGCAGAGCCACATCATTCCTGTTACACAGGAAATTGTTTCTTCCAAAAATATTTGTTGGGTTTTAGATGATGGGAAGGCAGGTATACAGTTCAGGAGCACGTCTGCATGACGTGTCGTCCCTTGTGGTAGAAGTGTGTGTCTGCAGCGCATGATGCTCAGGGCTGCATCTCACAGCCACAGCCTGACAGCTGCTCCACAAATCACAGCAACCCCTCTAGAATGTCAGCACATGGGGCCAGGGCCCTTACCAAGACCCCACGTGCCCCTTCTTCTCTCAGTGCTCGGAAGTCCCCAATGCATGGAAGGTGCCACAAAGTCAAGCCATGGGGATACACTGGTCCTTTGCACTGCTGGCACCTGTGTTACTTTGCTCATTCGTTTTGCTTGTTTAGACAGAGCCAGGTATGACCTGCAACTTTTTCTTCTTTGTGAATTTGGAGACAGATCAAATATTTGGGCAAATTATTTAGATGACTCTTCCTTCAGTGAAGCCAAAACCAAATTAACCTCGATCCTGTGCTGCTCAGGAACACTTCCTCACCCTGAAGGCAGATGAGTTTTAGAGGCAACTTCTCTCTGTATTCCTGCAGTCACACAAAGAGATGGACCCTTCTTTTGGGCATATGTGGGAGAGGAGATTCTTTCCTGTCAGGACAGCTGATGGGATAGTGAAGTCACAGGCATCAATTATTCTCTTTGTTTTATTTTAAAATAGTTCTAAGGGTAATAACAGACCTTAAGGGGAAGAAGGGGAGGGGGGAAAGGAAGTGGGAGAAAGGGTGTGGGGACAAAGGGAGAGATGAAACTTTAGTGTACAAAATGGGTTAATAGATCTGCCTGTGAGCCAGAGTATCCGAAGTACTCAGCTCCTGGGTTGCTGCAGGCAGAGCCATGTGTCTGAGTGCACTGATGCAATGCGGGGAGACCCACCACTGTTGAGAGGGGAGCTTACTCCATCTCCAGATCTGGCCCACATCCCTGCAGGGTTTTACCAGTTTGTGAGGAACTTGCTGGTATGTAATCACAGCCCGTTACGACGGGAGCAGCACACCGCGGGGCTGCTGCCAATTACAGGATTGCGCAATAGGGGTAAAGCGAAAATAAGTCCACTGTGGTTTCAAGACACCAGTGAGCTCTGTCGTTTTCTTGTTTCGATTCCCCTAAATAAAGTGGTGTGTCTGTGGGAAGCATAGCCCCCTGGGAAGGTGCTCTGCCAGAGCAGCCACAAAACCTCTTTCTTGCCATGGCTGCACCGAGCAGGACCATAGGTCCCCAGGTGGGCACAGCCATGGCAGGGAGCAGAGCAGCAGCCCAAGGAGCACCGCCCACTTGGAGCAGCCTTCCAGGTTTTTTCTGTTTAACACCATTCACAGTTATTCCAATTGAACATCCGAGAAGAGAGAACCATGTTGAGATAATGTGCCCAAGCTTCACCGGGGTCTGGGTGATGTGGTTAGGTGATGTGGTTTTACCAGGAACATGTCATTGAAAGCCAACATGTGACATATTCTCAGTACACATAACACTAGCAGGCAGGCTTGTTGAAAGGAAATCAGAATCTGAAGAAATGAAATCAAGAGTGGGAGAAAAAGGAAACTAGCTGTTTTTTCTCTGAACTCAGTTATTTGTGCTGAATCATTTTCAAGCTGTTTCTGTGCCTCCCTGTAAGATCTTAAATAAATCTCTGGTACTGTTTCATCACTGGAGTTTATCTTCTCATCTTCCCAAGGCTGCCTGGTGTTGACAGCTCTTATGTTAACTCAGAAGCTGTTTGTTTTTCTCCCTCTCTTTTCCTGTTTCTGCAGACCACAGAGTCGGCAGTTCTTGTTGATCCTTGCAGGTCTGCGCATCCGAGCAGGAAACTTGACTCTATTGTCACGACCAAAAAGCAAGGTCATTTCAGGAAAGTGCAGCAGGGTGCAGCCATGCTGAGAGAGTGTGATGATAGCCTTGGATAGGTTTTCTTTGTTTGGCTGGGGTTTTCTGTTTGGTTGGTTGTGGTTTTTTAGGTTTTATTTTATTTTATTGATTATCATTATTTTTCTTAAGGCACTCTAATGTTCTGGTTTTCTCTTCTCTGTCAGCTTCCCTCCAGGGATCTCTCTCACTGTTACAAGTAAAGCTTCCTTAATCCTCCAGCCTGAAGCATTAATCTCAACCTTACTTTTGAAGGAAATGGCTTTGTTCTCTATTAGCAATATTCCGGTGGCAACTGCAGTAAAACTTCAGCTTCCAGCAGCTACTGCTGTGCTGCCGACACTCCACTATGGCAAGGGTATGATGCAGCTTTAAGCAGATAAGTGAAATATGCCAGCTATTTTGACTTCGATTTGATGGTATGATTCGATTCAGCACTACTCAGGAAAAGAAACTAAGCAGAGCTTCCTGTCCACTACTGGGATGTAACCACACTTGTACAGATCTCATCTGCTGTTAAATATTACCTAATGCCTATCATTAATTCTTAGACTCTTCCTCCTGTTCTATTTTCTCTTGCCTGCTTTCCTTGAAAGCTTAAACAAATAATTTTCTTGGCGAAAGGTGAACTGCATGGTTGCTTATATATTACATACTCTACCACTGGCAAAGGGATTAACCCCCACTTTTTCCTCTGCAACTGCCTTTGTGCTAAGCAGGCAGCACTAACTCATTACCTGCAAAATGCTACTGAAAGATGACTCACGGGAGTCTGATTTGTTGCCCACCAGTACCAGTTTGTCCCAAGCAATTTTCCTGCCAAGAGCAAGAACATTTGTCTGAGGATGGGATTGAATGGCAGAACCCCTCTTTGATATAGTTAGAGTGTAACAGAGTTTATATTGACTGTGTGCACTTCAATCAAGGATTAATTGTGAGGAACCTTAATTGACAGGATTTTCCTGGTCTTAGGTTTTTT